CAGAAGGCCGTCACATGGGTACTATTCGGGCCTTCCTGGGGCTGCTTTTGGCTTCTTTGCGGCAGTCTCCTGGGTCCCTTGAAGCTCTTTTCGGCCATCTTTGGGCGCTCTCTCTCTCTCTCTTGGATTTATGGGGGGTACCTTGGGGCAGTCTGGGGACCTTCTTGGGCCGTCTAGGGGACCCCTTAGGCCGTCTTGGGTCCATTCAGGCCCTCTTGGGCCAGCTTGGGGTTCTCTTGAGGTCGCCCTGGGTCGATTAGGGATCCTCTTGGGGCTCTCAGTGGGGTCCTTCAAGCCCTCGAGGACCGCAAGCGGAGCGATCTTCGACCGTAGAGCGTAGAAAGCAAAACATAGTGCAACATATCACGAGCGTATATGCTTTTGGCCCCTCGAAGCCCTTCAGGAGAGCGCCCAGGGTGTGTCTGAGAGCCTCTTTGAGGCCTGTTGGCACTTACTGGGCGCTTTTTATGGGCTCTTGGGGGCGTGTTGGCGATGTCAGGCCAGCTTGACGGCCTTGGAGGCCTTCCTGGGCCGTCTCAGAAGTCTCGGCGTGCCTTGGCGAGCCCATTGCGAGGCGTCGGGCCGCCCAAGAAGCTTCGGGAGAGAGGGGTGGTGCACGCGGCTGGGTGTGGCAAGAGGGTCCTTCGGAAGACTCACATCACGCAAGCGTCCTGGCTCGCCTACAGTCGGGGCGCTGGAGAAGGAACTCTTTCTCGTGGGGTAGGGGCTACGTGTTCCTTAATTGTTTCACAGCTTGCCGCACGTTTTCCTTAGGTTTTCGAAGGGGAATCGAAGTTCAACTTCTGGAGAAAAGGGGCCTCGTTCCTTATTTAGGGTTCCTTAGGTCAGCGCCCCGACTGTATAGGCCCACCAAAGAATGTGCTAAGAACCTTTTTGTGGTCTGCGCGAGATGTTTTTTGAAACCATTCCTGGTTGGGACTGTCTTAGTTTAGCACATCGGGCAAATGTTCTAAGAGCATCTTAGAACATCTTTGGGTTCCATGAACACTTCATGGTAGGCCTATAGGAATGCCGGGGCGGCCGGTCCCTGCTCAATTACAGGAGCCCTATGTACACGGCAGCACTTGGCATTTGATCGCGCCTCAGCGTGCGACGGGGCACGGCGGCGGATTATGCAGTCTTTGATCCAAGCGGCCGCAGCGCAGATCCCGACGGATCACTTCGTCGCCGTGCAAATATGGTTTTGGATTGCTTAAATCGATCCGCGATGCATGACGACAACGTGTCGAACAGTGTACGGGAGCGTCTGAATACTTGTGGTTGGTCCCCTCGGACAGATACCGAATGGGCGATGGATTGGGTGATGGTCGATGACCAGGCGGGTGAACCAGCCATTTCGATACAGAGCATCTTCCCGGACGAGACTTACATGTGGTGGGGGCCAGATGATTGGTTCGTTATAGACCAGAACCCACGAGGTTTTGCTCGCTTAATCGATGGTATGGTTCGAGATTCAGTGCCTGAACATGATCCCCGTGTTGTCCTCAACACACCTGTCAATCGGATTGATTGGGGCTGCAACGGAGTCATTGTTTCGACAGACAATGGCGACATCTACACGGCAAAGCACGCAATTTCTACCGTTTCGTTAGGTGTTCTGCAGAGGCACCATAAGGAGCTTTTCTCACCTTCTCTACCGGAGCAGCATGCGGATGCCTTATCAAGCGATCACGTTGTCATGGGAAATTTGACGCATGTGTTGGTTCAGTTTCCTAGAGTTTGGTGGGACAATTCGCTTCCCCGCTGGATATCTGCTAATCCCGGCGGCAAGAATATGTCTGGTGAGTTCACAGAGTGGCAAAATCTGAATCATGACTCTCTAGTTCCTGGTTCACAAACTTTGTTATCCTTCCTGGGGGACCCGCAGGCATCGAAGTACCAGGCAATGCAAGATATTGATGTTCAGGCGGCTGTTGTGCAACGGTTGCGTCTTCAGCATCCCCGCGTTGAGATTCCAGACGCCGTTGCAATCTTCATCTCGCGTTGGGGAACAGATCCCAGATTCTTAGGCTTACGCCACACCGCCCCCTTTGGGGACTGACGGTTGTTGTGTGTTGCTCTTGTGGGCCTCTCGAGCACCTTTTTAGAGCTTCTTGGAGCTCTTCTGATTATCGAATGGCATTCGGAACATCCCGCCACCTTGCCTGGGCTGCGGATCTGAGGCCACGCGGATGGCAGACAGAGTCTCGTGGGAGGCGTCTCGGGGGCGTTTGGGAAGCAATTTTTTGACCGTTGGAGGAGCTCCTGGAGGCCTCTTGGGATATTTCGGGCGTCTTGGGGCAGGCGGGGGCTTCTCGGGCCAGCCGGGGGGCGGTTTGGGATCGGCTCGACATGTTCGTTCGGATTCCCACATTGGGCCCCCTCTTGGGGCTGTCCTGAAGCCCCCTCTGAGCCGTCTTGGGGGCTTTTTGAGCGGCCTTGGGGCCCTCTTTGGTCGTTTGGGGGCCCTCTTGGGGGCCTTTGGGGGGGATCGAAGAGGCTTCTTGGGCTGTCTTGGACGTCGTGAACGCACAAGAGGCGAATGTGCAAACAAAAATAGAATGTTCCTATGCAAATGGGTTGAGGTTTGCTCTTTGAAGCCTTCTTGTGACGCCTCTTGAGGGCTTCTTGGGGCGTCTCGGGGGCCCATTGGGCCGTCTGGAGGCCAGCGTGGGCGTGTTGGATCGATCGCTATATGGCGGCTTGTGGCTCTCTTGGACCGTCCTCAGGGCCTGTTGGTCACCTCTTGGCCTGTTTTGGAGCCCTGTACCCCGTGATGCGTTCGAGCGGTCCCCGGGCCCCCCTCTCCAAATCGACCGGTCCAGGCTCCCGATGGAGGGGTTTTGGGAGGGGGGAACATCTCATACGCCGATGGACTCCAAGGGATCGGCGGATTTTATGGTTCGTATTCGATCCGTCAGCCTGGTTGGCGAGATAAGTACATGAAGATTTTACAACAGCCGTTGATGGCATGTGGCAAGACGGTCGTGCGATTTGCTGGCGAGGCGATGTGCGATAATTTGAATGGATACACGCACGGAGCGTACCAGACAGGCAAGGAAGCCGCCGCTAAATATCTCTACGAGGTCCAGAAAGGACCAAACCCACAAGATGATGACGCTCTTTCGCTGTGTAATTGGTAGAGGCCTCCGTTCGTCACAGGATTTCTGAAGTCCTCGCCCTCGTCATCTTCTGGCCGCTTCAGTCCACTGTACCCTGTCTGGCAGGCACCTTTCACACCGATTGGTGATTGGGGTGTACAGTCAAGGAGGAGCTGAATTACGAACAGCGTGAGGTGCATGAGGGGCTCTGGTTCTCGGACCGTTCCTTAGATCTAGTTAGGTCGGGAACCTATTCGTGGCCGATGCTCGCCGTGGCCAGAAAGGCCCCTTCGTTCCACTTCAATCGCTCCGCGCATTGCCCCCCGTGCCTGCTGTGGCGTGGTCGAGTAGCCTCGTCGGGAGGCTTCTGGGAGTTTGTGGAGGGGAGGGGGCTCTTGAAGGCATTCTTGGGGTTTCCTGGGGTCCCTTGGGGCCACTTGTGAGGTGTTTGGAGGCCCCTGGGGGAATCTTGGGAGCCTTCTGGCGGATTCGGGGTCCATCCTTGGGGGAAGGGCGCGAAATCTGAGTTCGGGTTCCCTTCTTGGGCTTGTCTGGGGGGTCTCTTAGCCCTCTTGGGGGCCTCTTGGACTGTCAGGGTGCGAGCCTGGGGGCCTCTTGGACTGTCTTGCGCGGTCGGAAGTCCGCAAAAGAAGCGCCAATCTGCGTCAGAAGTTCATGGGGATTCGTGAAGCGTGATTTCTGGAGGCCCTCTCGAGGCTGTCTTGGACCATCTTGAGCCTGGCTTGGGGCCTCTTTGGATTGTCTTCGGGGCATCTTGGGGCCGGCCATCCGTCGATCCCCTCCCTTGGGCCTTCTCGGAGTTCCTTTGGGGCCCCCCGGGGACGCCCCTCAGCGCTAGAGGCCCATTCTTTTTGGGGGGATCAGTAGAGACTAAGTCCAGGCATCAAGCAGTGGCGAAGCGTCTTGGCTTGCCTATAGGCCCACCAAAGAATGTTCTAAGATCCTTTTGTGGTCTGCGCGCAATGTTCTTAGAGCATTTCTGGCTGAGACTGTCTTTTTTACGTATCGGGTTTATGTTTTAAGAACGTTGTTGAGAACAGCTCTGCGTGATCATGAGACTTTTTATCATCGTGTTGTGGTGAGAACAGCGTTGGGTTCTAAGGACAGTTCGTGGTAGGCCTTTAGGAATGCCGGGACAGTCTGTCCCTGCTCAAAGACAGCGTAAGCCCAGACAAAGACCGAGCACTCCATATGGACGTATTCAGTATGGATTCAGCCTCTCTCGAGGGGCCCCCAGGGGTTGCCACGCGCGCGAACCGAAGAAAGGACATCCCCTAATTGGAGGTGTTGGCACGCTTTTTGCCCGTTGGGCTGCCGGGTTTGGCACGTTAGCATGATGATTGTGAGGTGCCGCCTCATTTTTTCACGCTTGCCTGATCGGCTCGCGTCTGGCGCAAGTGGTCGGCTAACGTCGTTTCGCGTGCCGATTGCACTACAGTTCGGTAAGCGTTTTTCCTTCAATTTGCGGTAACCGAGGCGTGACGATCGAAAACACACATATATATATATATATATATATATATATATATATGTTTGTATGCGTATACATGCACCTGTACATACACATATACATATACATACACATATACATATGCATATACATATACAAATACACATACATTTACATATGCATATGCATATACATATACATATACATGTGTGTACGCCCATTCCATAGGAAGGCCTATTCCCATGCCGTTATCAGGAGTGGCATCGAAGCCGGTTTATTCGCCAACCTCGCCCTGCGTTTCGTCGCACGCGGACATTCGCCCCAGGATCTCGTCTACGACCTTGGTTCGGTTCCTTGAACTCACCCCTCCGCCGTCTACAATATACACCTCCTGCCGCTCGCTTCTCGCAGAGACGGCACCGCTGCAGGCAGCGTCCCTGTTCCGGTTGCTGAAGACCATGGAGAACCAAGTCCCGTGAGGTTGTGGACAGATGCCGGCGGCGGAGGAGGCAGGAGGAAGTGCAGCGGATGGAGAGCACGTGGTCGCGGGGGCAAGTTGTCGATCGGTGCGGCGCGGGGTGTGGGGTATCGATCACGTCGATTGTGATCTGAAGGGTTTCGAGGAGGAGGAGGTGGAGGAGGAGGAAGGGGAGGAGGAAGGGGAGGAGGAAGAGAAGGAGAAAGAGGAGGAGGGCGAGGAAGAGGAGGAGGGCGAGGAGGAGGTCGAGGAGGAGGAGGAGGAGGAGGGGGATGAGGTGGAGGCTGAGGAGTAGGAGGAGGAGGGGAGGAGAGGAGGAGGAGGAGGAGGAGGAGGAGGAGGAGGAGGAGGAGGAGGAGGAGGAGGAGGAGGAGGAGGAGGAGGAGGAGGAGGAGGAGGAGGAGGAGGAGGAGGAGGAGGAGGAGGAGGGGAGGAGTGAGCGCGCTCTAGCTCCTCGTCCCTCCCTGCGCCCGCACAAGATGGGGGTGCGGCGGCGGCCACGGGCGCGCCTATCAACGACGCGCGATCGGCCCGGCCGTTGCCCGGGCGGGTGGCAAAAGGCGCGCACGCTACTTTTTGTTGCTGGCTTCCTCGCCGAGCGATTCGTCCTCTATTTGGGCGGGCGAGGGACTTCTCGAAGACGCCCACGGCGAACCACCATCTTGGGGACCATCCTGGAGCCATCATAGGCGGGGAACGCGACGGGAGTTGATTTCTACTAGCGCTTCTGGGTGGCGGGATGCGCCGAGATTCGCCGAGACTTCAGCGGTGGCAAGCAAGGGCCAACAAAAAGCATAGAACATATGGCACGCCAGGCACCTTTGTGGCAAGCCAACTGGGGCGGCGGATCGAAGACGCCCACGGTGGACCGGCCGAAGTCTTGCGAGTATACGGAGTTGTATGTCTTACCCCAGCCATCGTGGAAGTCCTTTGGGAAGCACTGGGGGGAGGAGGAGAGAGAGACGGAGAGGAGGAGGAGGAGGAGGAGGAGGAGGAGGAGCACCAGAGTAAACCCAAGCTGCATGACGGATGCTGCAATTCACCCTCCCGCCCCGAGCCCCCTTTCCGCTTCAAGGAACGCGCCCCCTTGAAAGACCAGCACCCCGTGGGCTTGCCAGATTCCGGCGAGAGTCCCATTTTGAACAGAACTTTTTGTTGCCCTACATCTTCTTCCTCATCCTCCTCCTCGCTCCTCCTCCCTCCTCCCTCCTCCCTCCTCCCTCCTCCTCCTCCTCCTCCTCCTCCTCCTCCTCCTCCTCCTCCCTTTCCTCCTCCTCCCTCCTCCTTGCTCCCTCCTCCCTCCTTCCTCCTCCCTCCTCCCCCCTCCTCCTCCCATTCCTCCTCCTCCTCCTCCTCCTCTGAACAGGAATTGCTTGCCTAGCATCCTCTCAGAGAGCAAACAGAGTCCAAAGAGGGGGTCCAGCGGGATCCCCGTCTTGAAGAAACGACTGCGCCCGTCTGTGCAACTGTAACATGATCTACATGTTCTGGCCGTGAGCCTCGAGGGAGTCTCAAGGGGAAACTGTTGCCCTGAAGCGAGGAGCCCCCCCCATCCGCTAGGGGGCCATGTGCGAACCCTACCCCTACCCCGCACGATTTCTGCGGGGATGGTGGGGTTCAATTCGTTCGGGAACTCCCGAGCGAAGGGAACCCCACCCTCCCCGTCAGAAATGTTGAACAGAACTTTTGGTTGCCCTACATCCTCCTCCTCCTCCTCGTCCTCGCTCCTCCCTCCTCCCTCCTCCCTCCTCCTCATCCTCCTCCTCCTCCTCTTGAATAGGAATTGCTTACATTGCTCTCAGAAGTCGTGTGGGGTAGGGGTAGGGCTCGCGTGTGGCCCCCCAGCCGCGCAGCCGCACCCGATCTTCCCGCTTCGGGCCGGCTGCGCCCCGCGCGAGCCCGAAGCGAGCGTGCAGTTGTCAGGAGGAAAAAGCACACACACACAGACACAATTAACCGTCGATTCCCCAGGAAAATATGGGAAACTATGGGAAGTGGGTGGGGGAAGACAAAAACCCAGAAAATATAGGAAAATATGGGGAATAGTTTTATTTGTGTGTATTTATTGAATCGCTTCGCTCATTCCGCCGGCCCATTTCGCATGACTGAGCCTCTTGGGGCCGCTGGGGGGCCTCTTCAGCGTCACTTGGGGGCCTCCTAGGGGCCTCTTCGGGGCTTTTGGGGCCTCTCAGGAGCCTCTTGAGGCCTTCTGGGGGCTTCTGAAGGCCGAGGGCTCGAAGTTTTGTTTTGTGTTCCCCCTTTTGGCATCGCTTGGGGCCCTCTTGGGCCCCTCTTGGGCCGTCTTGGATGCCTCTGGGGCCGTCTTGGAGCCCTCTTGGGCCATCTTGGGGCCTTCTTGGGAGCTTCTTGGGCCCTCTTGGGGCGATCTTGGGGGCGGCGATCTTGGGGGCCTCTTGGGCCGTCTTGGGGCGTCGGGAAGCCGAAAAGATGGACACGCCAAAATATGCCCAAAACCCAAGGAAAAGTAATGAATTTTGCCTCTTGGGGTCCCCCTCTGGGGAGTGCTCTTGGAGGCCTCTTGGGGCGTCTGGGGGCCATCTTTGGCGTCTTGGAACGATCGTGTGGCATCTCGGAGCACTCTTGAACCATCTTGGAGGGCTCTTGGCGGCCTCGTGGCCCTTCTCGGGGCTCTCTGGAGGGCCACGGGGGCGGCGCCCAGGAGGAAAACCATCTCTGACCCGAGTCTGCCGGGGATCGCCCGTGGTACTTTTCGTCCGGGGACCCCCAGGGGCCGCCCCGCGCGCGCGAAGTAGAAGTATTATTTAGCAGTTACCGGAGATCTTAGCACGCCTCTGGCCCGTTGGGCCGGCGAATTTGTGTGTCCTGGGGCCCCTTCAAGCTGTTGAAAAAGGCAGCGCCCTTCGCCCGTGCAGCCGTCGCTGCGCAGGCCGCTCGTGAGCTGCAACAGGCAGGGCAGGGTTAACGGACCACCCCGAGCCGAAAAGAAGCCGCCCGCGGCCCCTCATCCGACCTCACCCCCTCCACCTCCTCCCTCCTCCTCCTCCTCCCCCTCCTCCTCCTCCTCCTCCTCCTCCGACCGCCCTCCACCCGTGCCGACAGCACGTGCCCAACCCCCCCAGCGGATCCAAGGGGGGGGCGATGGGTTGCGGGCTGTAAACTCTCCGGCGGCCCCCACGACCGCTCGGAGTGTGCCCGGGTGCTCGAGGTCTCTCGGGGTGCTCGACGCCGTGTCGATGCTTTGCTGGGTGCTCGCCTGATTGCCGGGCGCTGGCCCTGGTGTGCGATGGGGGGCAGCATGTGCGTGGGCGCGAGAGCGCGGGCCCCAGTCATGAAAAGGAGCCGCCCCCCTTCCACGCTTGACGTGTATGCGAACTTGAGGCGCACGTGCGCGGCGCTACGTCGAGATCCCCAGTTTGAAAGTGCCCCCCCTTCGTGGTTGGAAGTGTTGTGAACGTTTAGAAGAAATGCGTGCTGCAATAATGCAAACGCCGCAAAACCATTATTGAACGTGCTGCAAAGTGTTAAGACGGATTGGCGCGGCGCAAAGACGATAGCAGCGTAGCAGCATGTTGAACATGCCCCCCTTCCCACCTCTGAAACTTGAGCAAGTCGTTGTAGACTAATGCGCACGGTTCTGAGGAGAGAGCTCCATCTTGGAACGGCCCGCCCCCTATCTCGAAGCGGATACATATCTCATCGTTTGCGTATCCTCACCAGTTCATCCAGGCAGGATGCCCAGAAGAGCTGCCTTGATTAGGGGAGCGTGGCATCATTAGGAGATATCGGGGGCCAGTCTGGACCAGAGGCCCCATGGATGGGTGTTTCCTTGGGGCCTCGGGGAATCTCTTTAAGGCCTCCGAGAGGCATTTCTGGGCGTGTTGATGGCCTCTTGGTCGCTCTTTGGGGGAGGCATCTTGGAGCGTCTTGGGTGCTCTTGGAGCTCTCTTGAATGCATGTTGGAAGCGCCTTGGAAGCCTCGAAGGCCTTTTTGGGACTATCTTGGAGGACACGATGATAGAAGGGGTGTCCTTAGTAGCGCCCCTTACATTAGGAACCACTAAAACAACAGTTTGGGGCTCTCTTGACGCGCTCGTCGGGCGGTCTTGGAGCCATCTTAGGTCTTTAGTGGGCCCTCTTGGCGCCATCTCGGGTCTTCAGAAACCCATCGGAAGCGAAACTATCATAAACCAACCGTCATTGATGTTCGTTGTATGTGTTCAAGGAGTTGGGCCTATTGGGGGCATAGTTGGAAGCCTCCTTGGCCACGTGAAACCGTCTTGGAACGGTTTTGGGGCTCCAGGCAGCAGTATTCAATCTAGGGTATCTTAAGCCACGTCGGAGGCCATCTTGGGCTGTCTTGGGCCCTTTTGGGATCACCCTGCGCCATCTTGGACGTTCTGACCGCTCGCGACCCCGCCATTGGACCCAGGGACAGGGGCACGTAGGGGTACAGTCAAGACGCTGAACTACGACACGGTTTGGGTTTGGAAGGGGTTCGATGTTCCGTAGGTCTCTCTATGGTGGTTCTTCTTGTCCTCCTCGTGAACGGATGCGCTTGTGATGCCAGAAAGGGGGTTCGTTCCTTATGCGTTGTTCCTTACTACAGCAGCCCGACTGTAGGGGGAGAGACGCACCTAAGTGGGAAAGATAGGTTGTAATAAGACACTCTCTAAATCGCGCTTCTACTCCTGAAAAGGGTTGGTGGGATGTCAAGCTTCAGGATCATACATGGCGAGGAGGTCTCACGCGAAATGCCCGCCCGCCCTACTGACACGTCTAGGGGTGCGAGAGGGAGGAGCTATCCAGAAGGAACAGGGGTGTAGGAGGAGGAGGAGGAGGAGGCGAAGGAGAAGGAGGAGGAGGAGGATGAGGAGGAGGAGGCTTGGGGGCAATTGAGGGTCTCTGCGAGACATCCTGGCCTTGGGAGGCAGTCATGGGGCATTTCTGGGCTGCCTTGCGGTCCTCTTTGGGTGGTGTAGGACCGTTTGAGGCTGTGTTTGGGGCCCCTTGGTTCCTTTTGGGGCTGTGTTGAAGGGCGGTCTGTGTTTCCTTTTGGGGCTGTGTTGGGGGCCCCTTGGGCTGCTGTTGGGCTCCCTTGGCCCCTCTGGGGGGGCCTCTTGGGGCTGCTAGGGCCGTCTGTGGGCTATCTTCGAGGCCGTAGCGGCTGTCTTGGACAGTCGGAAACCCCAAAGGGCGGCCAGGGTCTTCAGAACCTATGGAAAATCAAGCTGGTCTCCTGGAGTTTGGAGGTTCTCTTGGAGCCCCCTTGCGACGTCTTGGGCGCTTCTTATGCCGCCTTGGGGTCACCGTATGCAGATGTGGGTCAACATTGGTAAGTCTTGGGAGCCACCTTGGCCTTCTGGGAGCCACCTTGGCCTTCTGGGAGTCCATCTCGGACCGTCTTAAAGGCCATCTTGGAAGAAGTTTTGGGCCATCTTGGGCGGATAGGCCATTGGGAGGTCCATGTTCCGCGCGGTCAGCCATATTGTCTATCATGCCATCGTGATGAATGGCCGCGCTCCTGGATTATTCCCTACCGTCCTGTGGTATTGGGTCCTCGTTTTGAAGAGGCGGTGCCCCGCGGCCTCCTCTCCTCTCTCCTCCTCCTCCCGCTCCTGCCTCCCGTCACCCCCCTCAATTTGGCAAACCCCTCACACGTTTCGTGGCACCGTGGAGAGCTCCACCGAAGGCCCCAG